TGAGGGACCCCCTAGCCTGGCCCGATCCCTTGCTGTGCTGCCCCCTGCCCTGGGCAGGCCCACCGCCCTGGGGAAGGCTGGGGGCAGCCCCCATGACCGGGCCCTAGGCCTGACAATGAACCCCTGGGAGGGGGGCACCAGCACTTTGAGACCCCAAAACCAGCCTCCCCTCACAGCTTGGGATTTCCCCCAGCCCACATAACCACCTTGGTGACCACGCAGGCTGTCCCCCACGGGGCTCCCTCAGGAGCTGCGGGCCAGTCCCAGGCCGCCATGGCGCAGGGCAGGTGCTGCCAGGGGCGGCTGGGAGTAGGTGTGGGGCTTCGGGGCTGGAGGGGCGAAGGAAGATGCAGACAAAACACCCCACGGTTCAGGCTCGGCGTGGCAGGGCACAGAGGGACAAGGCCACTAGTTCCCCGTGCTGGCGGAGAGGCACACAACTATTTTTGCTGTCTGTAAGCCACCGATGTTTCTTCGTTCAGTGCAAGTTAAAAGTTTAGGACAACCCTAAGCTCAGGAATGATTTGAGTAATACTTCTGGTTTCTCCCACCCTGCTACATACAAGGAGAGCCACCCTCTGAATATATAAGATTAGTACACAAGACTGCATGCCTTGTTCTTAAAACAGCAGATCAAACAAAAGCAGGTGAAGGAACGGGAGAGGCGTTTAACACACAGAGCTGTCACTTCGCATTCGGAAACGTGTTCATAACCTGCCAGTCTTGCTGGAAGTAGAGTTTGCCAGAGGAGACCAGCTCTGCAGCCGTTAGAGGTGGCTTTGTGGAGGATACACCAATGGGTTGCTCATCCTTCTTCTCCATGTCTGATAATGATGGGATAACCTGTGTTTATTTCACAGAAAGACTTTACTGGCAGTTGTGGCAGGATCCAGGGTCACCCAGACCTTTGAAGTGAAAGAAATGACACCTTTGCCTGAAAAGGAGGAACTGGAAACCACCATGGGCCATCTGATTTCTAATGGTCTCAAGCAGTGCATTTTACTGGAGCACAAGGCAGAACAAACACAATGTTCAGCTAGAGAACTCAGGCAGGTGAGGCAGCTAAAAATAAGACGGTTTGGGAAAACCAGATCCTGCCCGCAGAGACCTTTTTTCCCATCTTGGTCTCTGTCTAGCAATTTTTAGAGGCTTCTTGGGATGCAATGTCAAAAAGTCTCTGTCTCCCACCTATTTTCCCTGCGTCACAGTTGTGTTACCGGCTCCATGGCCTTCTGGGCTATTTCTCATTTCTAGATCTGCTGTGAGCTCCCTGCTCCAGCCTGACCATACCTGCTTCCAAATGTCTCCCCGGCACAAACACGCTTCCTCTCAAGAAAGGAGGGCTGCCACCCAGATAAAGTCAAACACCTGCTGGCTGTCCTGCCTGCTCCCCCCTCTCTTGCCACATCACTTTAGTGAGCCCATAAGACACACAAGATGGCAGCAAACAAACCAGCCATAATCGCTGCCAGAAGGGCCAAGGTCAGTCCTGTTTCTCTGATGTCAAAGATGCAGGTGTCTGTTGGTTTTTACCCTGTTGAGTAATAAGAAATGCTTTGGCATAAAATTTTGCTTATAAGGAAAGACAATTGGAGTCTGAAGCATAGAGCTTGTCTGTACTGGTAATTTATGGCAAGAGAAGTGAGCATGTGGATCCCAGGTACTGGGCTCCAAGTGCATAATTAGCATGCCTTGGGATGGGATAGCTTCTTCCACTTTAGGAACAGATTATACAGTGCCCTCCATTTAATCTGCACTGAAGGTGTCAATATGGAGAGCTCGCAGGGGATAGCTGGTGTGCTGTCAGTAGCAGTAACTTCCTTGTGTCAACAGGTCTCAAGCATTTATGACATAAAGGAAGAACACTGCAGGTCCAGGAATCTCCTCCCAGCCTGAGGAGGAAGAAAAACACAGCTTGGATCTATCATTTGCCACTTGCCACCATGACGTCAGCTCGGGGCTGAACTCTCTACCTGTGGCTGGGACCTTAAATGAGCTGACGCCCGAAGAGAAAAGCACTTTCTCCTAGGTTTAGCAGCAAGTAGCAGCAGCAACAGAAGCGGCAATGAGACGCTGTGTATTCCTCGTTGTGTTGCTCTGCCTGTTGAGCCTTTTGCAAGGTAAGAAACACTATCTTCTGTTTTGGGATTTATCAAGGCAGCTATTCTGTGGCAGTGAATGGATTGCTTAGTACTTTCAGCAGCTGCTGAGAGGCTGGATACATAATTCAGCATGTCTAGATTTTGATTAATTAACGATGAAAAATGTCACTGCAAGCAAACAGTTTTCCTTGTTCACAGAACAAAATCACTGGTGCTTGTGATTAACCTAATTTAGCCTATTCCAAGAGCAGTTTTCAGGACCTGCACACTAAACTCAGGTAATTCAAGCTCTATTACAGTCATCACAAAAGGTGCGACTGTTCCACCTCAGTACCCAGGGAAAGGAGTGTTGCTGTTGGCCTTCCGGCCAGGGGCTCCTTAAACAATCAGTCTGGAAAGCAGTGCTGCCTGAGCTGGCTCGCAGAGCATTCATTCCCTCCTGTTGAAATTAGTTAATGGGAACGTCACCACCAACTTGGGTGGCAGAGGGTTGCACTGTGGTCTATTCAAACTGAAGGGCAGGTGTCATTTCTTAAGCCACTTACTACTTTTTCTGGGATAGTGACAAACTTCGTAGTTGTGGGCCAGAGCCTCTGCCCAAACTTGCCTGTCCCTGATATTCAGTGACAGATACGAGGGAGCAAAGGCATTAGCAGAGGTAGAGTTAAGGGAACTATATGAAGATTCTTGTGGCAACTTGAAGCTCTGAGAGGCCAGGAACTCCCAGCTAATATGGAGATAAAGTTACAGAGATATGAGCCAAGTTAAGACCTTCATTGATGCTGTTAAGCTTGCAACTGGTGACAGATGGTTGTGGGTCTCTGTTAACTACTGTGAGTGAACATAGGTATTTTCAGCAACATCTACAACACGCTACAGACCAATTTTTAGCTATAAATTGTAAGCATAGAATTCTTCAAGATTGTCAGTTGGTTGATTTTCTGTTTGGAGGCTTGTGGGTAACAGCAAGATGTGCAAAATCTTGACCCAAGAGCTACTGAAAGCAATGTGAGTCTTTCACTTACTTGAACAGACTTTGCATCAGAATGGGCCTGCCCAGAAACCTTTTTCGTTCTAAGCAAACATTGTAAAAGCTTTGCAGGATGTGTCCGTTTGAATAGTACTGGCAAAGCCCTGCCCTGCTGAGCAGCCAGATGTCTCTGTTATTCCATAACCTCGGTCGTAACATCCATTTCTTTATCTCCGTAGTAAACGCCTAAGTCTATTAACACATCCTGTTTCCTTACACAGGAAGGCACTCTGTCCTAGGCAGACAGAGCCATAAAATAGCCACCTTTGCTCAGGTAACCTTCGACAAGGCCATCAGCAAGGCTCAATTGCAGCTTATGTGTCTGCTGTCACCACAGACGCGATTCTTCCCGAGGCCAAAGGGAACAATTGTTAGCCAGAGCCTCTACAAGGCTAACAGTTGATGTAGACTAAGGACTAGCTCTGTAAGAGGTTACTGCCCCAACACCCATTTTGAGAAGGCAGTCTAAACGATGCTCCAAAACCATGGCCTACGGCCAGCATAGATTCTTATTATCGTAGTTATAGGGAAAATGTACATTTCTTTACATTGACTGGGGAACAAATAATACTGCCTATAGGACTCAGTGACCAGTGGAGGCAGAAGACTTGACAGAGAACTGGCACAATTGCTCATGTTTCCCCTTCACCTAGAGGAGACTAATGGATTACTTCAGGCGTTGTCTTTTTGATGTGCCTTTTCTACGTCAGCTTTATTGATCAGAAGAAAAAAGTTTATAAAATTTGCCTCATTTTGGATTTTCAAAGCCCTACAAAGCTCTTGAAAAGCACGGTCTGCTTTTCAACTGTCTGTTGAGATATGCAATTTTTTTTTAATACACCAGCTATAATTTTTTAATACACCAGCTATAAAAGTGTGTTACTGTCAAGGATTTTAGCCACAAATACATCAGTCTTCCAGCTGCATGCTGTTAATGACTTAGATAAAATTATGATTGCAGTGGCATTAACTCAAAGTAAGTATGTTTATTCCTAACTCATATATTAACTAATTCAGATTGAAGTTAGATAATATGGCCATTTGTCAGTATCACACATTTATCAGCAAGACTGTTATATTATTTGTTCTCTTTACTTCTAGACAAAAAAAACCCAAAACATTCCTTATATCAAGAGTTAAGAATGACACAGTTTAAATATAAAATAAACATTCTAAAAATAAATAGATACTTATTCGGAATAGTAAACACAGTAGCAGGTAATGCTAAAACCAAAATGTGAGGAAAATTTTCTTCAACTATTGTCTGGTATCAGCCAGGTTTCTTTTTATTCAGAAAGAATTATAACAAGGAAGGAAAAGAATAAAAAAACCAATGTATATTGTCATAACCATATGGAAGTGCAGTCCTGGAAAGGGGGTCTTGATAGCACTGATGATAATTTAGCAGAATATGCATTCGTCGAATAAAAATACTCTGCTTTCAATGTCGACTTGAATTTGTTATAGCATAGGAGAAGGAGTTAGCAAAGGCAGTCATTCCTCCACCACTGCTCTGAAGGAGTCCATATAGAGTTTTTAATGATGCTTCTCCCAAGAGCATCTTCCATAGTTGCAAAATATCTATATATGTATATCTTGAAGCGAATGTATTTTTTGTGGATTTAGCTGAGGTCTAGAGCAGAATCTGAAGAGTCACTCTGAACATGTTAACTATGGAGTGCAATGTCATGTAAATCTAATTAAAAACAGTGCGACTACTACTGAGCGGCTGCCTCAGACTTTCACCCAAATGATCCTGGGGAGCAGGCCACTGTGGGGGAGTGGGGGGCTGTGCTGGCTGTACGCAGTCAGATGGCCCCCCTCAGCCTGCTCTGGCAGCCGGTGTTGGCCGTGTGGTGCTGCCTTGGGCAGGTGAGGGAGCTTTCCTGCAGGGAGACACACGTGTGCCGGTGGCTGAGACAGCAGTGGCCAGGGATGGCAGCTGAGCTGGGGGAAATACACTTCCTTTGTGGGGCATGTGCTCAGGCCCTGGGACCTGGGGGAGAAGGGACCATGGACATGTGAGACTACACAGGCCTCATGGCCAGGGAGAGCCCAAAGGCAGGGCAAGGCTGCCCAGGGCTTTGGCTGCTCAGCCCCACGCGGGTCCCCCACTGACCTGCTCAGAGGTTGTCCTGCACACACAGAGGTCCCCAAGACTTTTCCTCCACACAACGCTAAGCAGTGCTAACATCTTGCTTCTTTTCCCTTTATCAGAAAACAGCACTACAACAACTCCTGCCCCAACAACGATGACAATCCCAACAAGTACAGGTAAGGAGCAAAAGCCCTCGGTCAGCCGTTTCTGAGGACAGATTGGAGTAACGCAGTCACAGGGACCTCTGCAGCCCCCAGAGGCGGGGACAAGTTCCCCTGCCCGGTTTTGCCGAGTTCCTCTCCCAGGGGAGACAAAGGTGCCCAGATCAAGGCCGTGAATCCTCTCCACTCTTCCCTCTTTCCGTGCTGCAAGGGGAAAGTGTTGGGGAAGATGTGAAGAGGCTGCTCTTTTCCTGCTTGGTGCCTTTGCCTCCCGCACCGGTCCTGGGTGCAAGAGGATCCCGGCAGACGAGGTGCCCAGGGCAAGCCCGTGAGCGGGCCCTGCAGGGAATTGTTCCTGTGGCTGCTTGGAGCATGGGCAGAGAGGGAGCCGGGGCACGCACCAGTATGGGGCTGATTGCCAGGGTCTGTGGCCGTGGCCTACAAAGCGGTCCCTCCCGAGCCGGGGCACACACCAGCATGGGGCTGAGTGTTAGGGGCTGTGGCTGGAGGGCCACGGAGCGGTCCGGCCGAGGAATCCTCCATACATGACCAAGCCGTCATCCCAGTGTGACATTCCAGGGGGACATTCCCCGTCAATGCTGTGTCTCCCCTCCAATCTTCTCTGCTGGCCTTTGCTGCAAGGGGGAAGTGTTGGGGATGATTTTACAAGCGTCGTTGCTTTCTGCTTGGGGTGTCTTCCCCCAGAACAAGAATTTGGCTTCAGTAGGAGCTCTGGAATCACAGTATCTGGAGATGAGCCCTCTAGCCAATGAAACTTCATTTAGTGTTTTCCTTTCCACTTTTTGTGGGATGAAAGAGAGTTACTGTATTTTTCCTCATTGCACAGAAATTCTCTACCTCGTCTATGAGAACATACCTATGGAGTTAAGTGAAAGAAACTAGGCAGGGTGAAAAGCACAATTTGGTGACTTGGAAGAGAACTGTAATTAACCGTCCTATGTATACTGAAATATAACTGAAATATAACTTTTAATTACTTATAAACTAATAGATTATGTATAGATTTGAAATACATACTCTAAAATCCTTACAGAATATATAATTACTTAGAGAAAGTATAACTGTGACCATTTTAGGCAAAGCATTACCCTATAAAAAATTAAGTTTAAAATATATTTGAGATTATTCTAATGTCCTACTGCTCCCTAAATTTCTTTCTTCTGCTGGATTTCCTATCACATCTTTCTCAGAGTTTTCCCTTTCTTATTGCTGTGTATGTTTCCAGGCTAGCCTCTCACTGGCTGATTTTCAAGGAAGGATTAGCTGGAAGTTTTCCTGTAGTGCTAGTCTTCCAGGTGTTTAAACATGTTGGAGTTGAAGAGGACCCGGGTTAGCTCAGGACAGAGGCATAAGCCACAGGATGCTCTGGATACACTGAAGATGCTGTGAGGATGGAAACAAGAACCTTGCCCTGGTCTTGGGGTAGCAATGACAAGCTTGGCATTGGGGGAGAGGTGTGAGAAGCCTGCAGAGCTTTCAGACAGAGAAAATTTGCAGGGAGAGAGCACATTAAGTGGAGAGAGAGGTTGCCAGAGAAGGGATATTACAGGCAGGCATGCAGGGTAAATCACACTGAGCAACAGGTTGCAGGAAATAAGGGCAAGGCACTGGCTAGCGTACAGGGCAAGGTAGAAGCAGGATTGGGAAAGGTTTTGAGGCATCATACCATGCTGCCTTTGATGGCCTCAGCATAACCAAGGCACTAACAGAGCTGACATATTAAGTTATTTTCCCTTTTCCAAGAATGAACACAGCATCGTCTTCAGCAGCAATGCCAGCAAGTAAGTAGAAGGCAGTGGTCAGCACATATCCGCGAAGTTTTGCTGCTGTAGAAGTTTGGTATAGTGGCCAGTTAATATAGTTAGTCATATTATGGTGACAGCTGTAAGCCCTGCAACAAATTCCTTAGCAGCATACTCTGATATCTATTGAGGTATGTATACTATGATGATTAACTTGCTTGCCTTCATATTATTAATGTGTCTGCAGTAAAGGACCCTACCATGACACTGTATTATAATAAGGCAAGTACATACCAGTGCAGTATTAAAGACGCGCAGGCTATTGTAGTCTGCCTTTTTCTAACTTAGTCACTGATTTTGGCAACCCTCAATATACCTTTTTTGTTTGGTTTGGTTTTAGTTGTATTAAGTAGAGTTAGATTGTGAGTGCTCAGTATGACAGATAACGAATTTCAGTCTTACTCTGTGTCCTCACTGAGATATCCTGCTGGATTGTGTAGGAAAAACAGTTACTATACACACATTAAGCAAGCAAGACATAGCCATGTGCTCTTTAGTTGCATCTATACTCTATAAAACATATCTGGTAGTTTCCTTTAGTAGAAGTATATATGAACTATTTAATATATGAAGTCCTTTATATATGAACTGGCTATTGCAATTTCATAGAAATCCTGACGTCAATATCTTCCATCTTTGTATCAGACTTGTGCGACCCAGACCCTTGTGGAACAAATTTGGCTGAATGTATTGCTTTACATAGCATTTTTACCTGCCAGTGCCGATATGGATTCTACTATAGCAATGAAGATTGTCACAGAGGTGAGTTGCAGAAGGGCAATCTATATTTTTAGTTACTTCACAGATAACTGCTCAGGTGAATTTTTCTTCCCGTATCCCTTGTTCTCATGTTATAACCGAAAACAATCAGTCTGGGAAAGTGACTGCTGAATAATACCTTGCTTTGCAGACAGCCTCTGCTACAGTGACCTAGATTGTTATCTCACAAAACAGTAACAGCCAAAGAGGTTAATGTGCTAGGAAAAGAAGGTGAGTTCTCTGTTAGGAGTGCTGGAGATTAAAATGAGTGAAAAGCAGGAAAACATGCAAGTGTAAACCTGACATCAATATTAATGGACAGGATTTAAAAAGGCCCAAACAAATGAAGACCTCTGAACATCTGGCTTGATTTTCCCTATTGCTAAACACTCATCACAGTACTGTTGAAGTGCATCTCTGAGATGCTGCTAATGGCCAAGCGTGTGAACAAATGGGGCTTCTTATTTAAGTGCCAGCAAGCAGGATTCTCAAATTTACTTGTGAGGCTAAAGAAGCAGGTAGATACTGAATCACTTTCTCAGATACGGTGAACCACATTAGCTGCTTAGCGGCTGCGACTGCAAATGTGAAATCCTTAATATAGGTATTTTCTCACTAAATGCTGTAACACCTCAGATGGAAGTCTTTTGTTAGCTTCAGGCCATGCTTACAGTTTAACATTGTTCAGTTTCATAGTCTGGCCAGTTTGGTTGAGCCCAGGATCCTGCCTGCTTCCCAAGTAACCCATTGTGGCTGAATTGATTGAGCAAACATTTGTCCCCCACTGATTTCTCCAGTATATGAAAAATAGCACTGATTTATTTCTGCATTGTATTTCCCCATCTCTGAAGGCTGGAGAACTCTAAGGTGAAACCCAACTTACTTGAATGCTTTTTAATTAATTAATATTCTCTGTTCTCATTCCAGGGAAAATATTTCCAGGGGTCATCACACTGAAAGAATTTTACAGTGTTCAAACTGTAAATTCCGTGCAGTATGAAGAGTTGTTCCAAAATGTAACAATGTTTGTGAGTGATGATGTATTTTTTTTTTTCTGTATATTTAATGCTATCCTAAATGTCATGCAGACAGAGGCAATACATGCTGCGTTTAATGTGGAGCCTAGAATAGTTTCATTTGAGGAATCTACTTCTTTCAAAGAACACTTCACACTAGTTTAGACCTACCCATAAAAGACTTGAATTTTGCCCTCAGATGAGTACATGCATGGCTCTTGCTGAAGTGATGTACCTGAAATAAGTAACATCTGCATTTTTAGTGCCACTTCTATTCTGGGAAGTTCTCACATAAATTGCTCTCTATCTTTCACCATTCCCTCTCCAGAAACCATGGCGCGCTGAGCGAAGTTTTGCAACCCATTTAGTTTCTGATCTCTGCTGTTCGCTGAGGGCTCAGTAATACTCAGTGGTATGAGTAAAAATGAACAATTTTTTTTTTTTTTAAAGAAGGCTATTGATTCCACGCAGCACAAACTTTTCAGAATGGCTGTCCAGTTGTGTCTAAATACCTAAAGCATACCAGTATTAGTATTTTAATGTTATTAGTGAAATGGACATTACACATTTTGAGCATTCTATGATTACAGAATAAATCTGGTTATGGATTTCCTGGAGAAATAAGATGACCAGTTTAATTTATACTGCCATGTTGAAACAAGTGGATTTGCTTATGTTGCTTTCTAGAAGTAAGGAAGAAGAGCTATGCAACTCTACCAGACAGCTGATCAAAAAATATTCACCAAATATTAATCGAATTCATAAAAAATGGTTATCAATTCTTCATGTTATTATACTGCTTCCTATGAATGTTTTATCAGAAAGTAACCAAAAATTGTCCCTCCACTCCAGAATGTTAAAAAATATTTTCTGCAATTTTTTTCCCAACATTTTTTCATGACACGGCTACAGAAGTGCATGATATACAGCACTAGAATAGGTATGTAATAGTATGCAAAAGTGAAAATAGGATAGAAAATAATTTTTATTTTATTTCAAAGAAGGATAGTTTATCTTTCATTTCAGTTGACTTAGGCATCTTATCGTTTTCTCATGGTGCGTCTTGCTTGTGTGGCAGTTGGAGGCAGCTGCCTCCACCAGTTGTTCCCTGCTTCACGTGGAGTGACTTTTCTACTGACCCCATTCAACACCCAGTGCTTTCATCAGTGCTGTGCTTCTCCCCACAAGATCAATCCTTGAGAATCCCACTTCACTGCATCTTAGGGACACATGCTATCTGTAAGGATGCCTACTTCTCCTTCTTCCCTCTACTTGTACGTAGGTTGGTACCGCAGAGAAGCCCTTCTAAGCGATGAGTCTGCAAGGGTGTATCTGTAGCTATCCTACCAGGCAACCCTAAGGCACTGCCTGACATTCATTCAGCTCGTGTCTCTCCATCCCTTTACTGCTCTCCTATATTCCCTGTTTTACAGCACCACCCCACCACTCCTCTTCTGCAATACCTTGCATGGTGGATGTGACAGACCAGCTTGCTTTATTTGTGCCTAGAGTAGCATGTTCTGGATTAAAACTTTACAGCTGAAGCCTCAGTGCTTCATGTGATTTTGGTCTATGTTTTTGCTTGTGTTTAACTCCAACTCATTTATCTTTTACAGTTTAAGGGTGCCTTCAGCAATTTAACAGGCTTTGGACAGACTGTCATTGTGGAAATTCAGTAAGTTTGCCGGTTTGGTTTTTTGCACAGTGCGTGCTTCCCACACACCCCATTTTAATCTGTTCCCTATGGAGTACTCAGTTCAAGAAAGGATATGGGATGAGTTCAGTTCAGTATGCCTCCTGTTAAATGAGGGCATTCTTTTTTGTATTTTTAAAGTTTCTGGGATGCTGGCCCCATTTTTACCCCATGGATTTCCAATGTGTCTGTGAAGAGGGCTAGCTGAGACAGCTCTACAGTGGATCTCCCACTTTTAGCACCATATAGGATATAGCATTGTGCTATAACTAGCAGTCCCTGTGATACCTGACATGTCTCTGAAATTGTAACAGTTAACTCTGAGGTTCCTATGAACAGGTCCAACTTGGAGTCCCAGTTTAATTGAAGAAACACCCTCTTTGCAGAAGCTCACTGCATCTCATTGTGCATTTGCTGGTCTCTCCTGATGGCAAGCTGAGCAAAGATGTTATTGAATGGGCTGTGGTGACTGTAGCTGTGGGCATAGGTCCTTTGCTGATGTAGGCGGATACTGTAAGACGTCCCTCTCTTCCCATCCCCTTCTGTTACAGGTTACTGTCCCCAAAACTCTGCCAGCTTCTGTGTGAGTGCTTCCTAATTCACATCAAGCAAAATCTGGTATGCTAGCACACACACAGCAATGTAAACCCTTTCAGCGAACCCTGTGGATTAAGCAGTTAAGCAGACTGTTGTTGTAGCAGAGTTGTGAGGGCAGTAACTTCCAGCAGGGTGGTTGTGACAAACACATGACAAACAGTAACATCTTAAGGCACTACGGCAGTCTACCACTTAAAGGTATTTGTGTGCATATGCCAGCAGCACGAAGTTCAGCTGAAGAAAAGGGTAGTCACTGCTGTTCTCCACCTCACCCCACGGAGATTGCTGTCCAGCTGAACCCAACCCAGCTAGCATAAAGTAAGCATAGATACCTCTACATTGCAAACAGACCCTTCTGAATTCATTGTGATCACATACTGAATTATCCTCACCACGCTTCAGGATGGGTTCTCCATGTCATGCCTAGATGACACCACAGGCTGATGCAAGCATGTAAAAGTTAGGGTCTAACAGATGAGGTCCTCCACACTGCAGCTGGCTTGAGGTTAGCCCAGTAAAAAACATCAGTTGCATGCCAACAGCACAGAAAGAAGTGATGTTGTTAGCATTAAATCCAACAGCCTTTGCTTACCATCTACCTATTTACATCTGGATCAACTGGAAACATGGCCATTAATATATTCCTAAGCAAGACTTGAACTCATTTTCAGGTGTCTTAGCAACTACCTACATTGTGGGATGAAAGAAGCTAGGGGAGAGAGGGATGTTTGGCAGAAATCTTTTCTTGTCTTTGCATCTAGCTTGCTATCCATATGGATTATATGAGACTTTAAAATGATGCTATCTATACTTTTCAGATCTCTAAAAGAGGGCAGAGCTTCTCTTCCAGTGAATGTAACAGTGACAAACCTGTTTATGGAGAACTCAACTGTAAACAACGTGACAGTTAGTTCTGCAATAAGTAATGCAGCAGAAAATTCATCCTATGTCTCTCAGTACAGAGGTATGTAATTCCTTACTGTGGAAGTAAATAATCAGTAGAAACAGAGGTTCCTGTCTTCAAAGCTGATTAGAACATTTCTGTGTGCAGCAAAGCCCGTCAGAGCATAAGCCTTGTTGATTTTAAGGAGCTGAATGTTCAATCTTAGATAATTGTGAAGACTCAACCATTCAGTGCTGGGCTTTTTTGTCTTATTAAGGCTTTCTACTTCCTGTGTAAAGAAAAGAAGCAAAATACTTATTCCCAAGTAAGAATGGCATGTTGATTTTAACCCGCTGAGTGTTAAGTGGCTGGAAAAATCAAGACAAAATATATACAGGCATATATTGTGTTTCTGAGAATAAGTCAGTATTTTACTGGCAAAATAGGATGAAACTCTCGTTAGACTTCTTCTTCCATAATTAAACATGGTAATTGAAATGAAGCCTCATTGATTAGCTACTGACCTAAGTGATTCATTGGTCTAAATCAGTAAAGTCTTGCGTTACTAAAAGTGTAATACTTGGAGAATGATTTTCTAAATAAAACATGGATTTTTTTTCTCTCTTTTTTTTTTTTTTAATATGCTCCTGTTTTGAAATCAGCTTTTGCAAAAGGTGTAGCTAATAATTAAAGGAGCCCATTTCATGGCTTATAGCCTGAGTTTGGTCTCTGAAGGTGACTGTATCCCCCTCAACCATGACATTTCCTGTGTGCTAGTCCTAAATGTGAGGGGGAAATAGAAAAAACCTGAGAGCTCACAAAGCACCAGTGCAATCACATCCCTCCACTGCATGCCACCCAGTGAGCTTTGTAAACCATTGCCACTACTGGGACACGGATCTAAAGAGCAACACACAGGACAAACAGCATAGTAATATTGTTCATGAAATGAGCTGCATGCTCATAAACATTTATATCTATGTAGAACTGTATGGGATCTGGGCCTCACAGTTCAGTTGTAGAAAAACCTAAGGGAATAGTGTTGGGGTTTTTCTATAGTGTTTTTAAGTTGAGTCAGAAAGTCAGTGTTCAGAATATGAACTTATGGGTAGAATTTCCCTCTTTATGGACTGGGGGGCAGGAAGGTTTGGAGACATTGTAAGGAGGCTGAGAAACAGAAGGTCAGAAGATGGGATGGAAACAAGACCTCAGCTTGTAAAGAGCAAGGGAAAAGAAAGGGCTGGTCCAAATGCCTGCAGTATTGATGTCCCAAAAAAAGGACTTAAAAGCTTTTTTCAGAATTGCGAAATAATTGTTTTATGATTTACTGAGCAAGTGCACTGCTTTCTATGAAATGATATTATTAGTACTTGGTTTGCTTCCTGACTGTTTCTCTTTTAAAGGTACAACCTATTGTGCTGCTTTTAATTGTGATGCCAAAACCACAGACTGCAAAGAAAATATGTTTCCAAAATGCATATGCAAAAGTGGTTTCTCAAAGACAGAATGGGATGATCGTTCTTGTTCAGGTAAGAACCCTGCTAATTTATCTATCCCTGAAAGGCTGACCTGGTTATTCCTTGTCTCAGTCCCTTTTTGAAAAGGGTGCTCTGCAAATGTGCTGGCCTCTGAAAATCAAGGAATGTGTGTCTTATTAAGAAAGCCATAGAAACACATTCTCACGTTTCACTTAAACACATACCTAATTCTATTCCAGTAGAGTAAACTACTAAAGCCTGAGAAAATTATCACTGAAACCAGTGAGTGGGCAACTCTTTAAAAGCATTGTTAAACTCTTGGTAAGAATTGAAACTTAAATAGGTAAAGGAGGGAACAAATTGAATCCTCTCTTCACAGCCTTCTCTGCTAAGACATATTTTGGGAATAAATTCTACATGCTACCTGGAGGCAGCTATGGGGACGCTGACAGAACTGGAAGTCTCATGATGCACTACAACAATCTGTTAAAGCTCTGTCCCTTGTTGGTAGTTCTAGGATTGCATTACCTGTTTTTAGACAGGTTTTTGTGGGAAGAATGATTTATGTGATTTTTAGGAAATGTTAGTTGTTGGGGTTTTATTTGCTTGTTAGTTTTGAATCTTTTAATGAATACTCTGTTTATATTTTTAGCTATGCTCCACAGCCCTGAGATGTACTTTATTTTCTCCTTATGAAAATCAAAATTTTCACACTACAGAAAAAAAATCTAAGATATGAGATTTCAAGAAAAACAACAAACTCATGATAAAATTGTGAAAGCTGGCTACAATAAAGGCCAGTGAGATATGATCCAGTGTAGGCCTTTGTGGCCCCTAACCTGTCTAAATCTGATCCAGTTTTAGATCAGTTGCAATACAAATCATCTGCTGTGAGATCAAACTGCAGGTCATTTCTTGCCTATGTGAGATGCAGCCTAGCCAGATTTCCATTCTGATGAAGCTGGATGGTTTAAACAAAACCATTTACTTTTAATTTTGTGCTTTTGTATTTCAGTTCTGTTCTACATAGGTATAGCCCTAAAAAAGCCATTCTGGTGCTTTGGAGCACAACAAAGTTGTGTGTGTTTACAGTGCAATAAAAAAAAATAGGGGGCAGAACTTTCTCCAACGTTGATTTTTTTGGGGCTATCTTCAATTCACTCTGTATTTTTTCCCTCTGCAAATACAGATTGCAGTCAAGACTGTTCTGCAGAAGAAAACAAGTACTGTGTAAATGAAAGAGGAATTCCAACATGCAAATGCATGCCTAACTTTGAAAGGAAGGATGAAAAATGTGTATCGTGAGTACTCAGCTTTTTCTTGCATTCCTGTGTTCTAGCCAAAGATAGGGGAGAAGAACATCTAACACAGGGTCACCCTCAATCTAGAAGAACAGCCTGCAGCTATGTGAAGCAGAGAGGTGCCTAAGGTGGTTAGCAGGTGGACAAATTCCCATGGTGACACAAGTTATGGCATTTTAACTGCTTGGCATTAGCCATTGGTGTGCACTCATAATACCTCAGAGGAAAGCCAAGGATATCCAAGATCATCTCTGAGTCAGTGAAGAGGATAAACTACTTCATGCTTATTTTGTGGGTTGCCCACAAAAACATAAACTATTACCTCAGAGTAATTGAGCCATGGGAACTGGTATGTTGAAGCGTTTGGTAAGCAACAGGCATTAGAGCAAGACTTGCCTCAAATCCCTGGAAAGTTTCTGCTGATGTCAGTGGGGACTCTGTTTTCTGATAACTTTCAGACCTATGTTATTTCGTCTTGGTTTTCCCTCTGTGGGTATTTCTGTCGGCTCAGGATCAGAACAGAGCAGTGGTGTTTGCTGGTGAAGCTGAGTAGGTGACTGGTTGTGCTCTGCTCCCGTGGATAAGCAGAGGGACCTTACTCCCCATACCCATTAAATCAGCTTTTGTAGTTATTGCTGCTACACACTGAACACTTCTCACCATAAAGTCAATATATTTTAAATATACGAAACTAGTATGGGGAAAGACAAAGAGTTGCCTGTCTTTATAGACCTTATATTGAGGCTTTTGATAAAGACAGTGGGCAGCAATTCCAAGTGGCTCAGAGGTGTAGGGCTTAGTTCTTTGGAGAAATTAGGCCCTTTTAACATTTTTCAGGCTGAGAATCTGAAACTTTGAGTGTCCAGTTCACCAATCAAGCTGAAAATCTCAGATTGTTTTACTCTAACAATGAAACTAAACAATTCAATATTAAGAGAGCATTAAAGAGGAAACCTGTAATAAATGCACCTTGCAGAGAAATTGCTGAAAAAGGTGGAAATATACTATTGTTTTGTGATCACCTGCTTAATGACATTATCTTTCTTTTCTTTCTTTACCCTTTTTTCTCTCATGTAGTTGTCCAGTGGGCTACTCTGGAGAGAACTGCAAGAACAGTAAGTACAAGAATTTCTGATTTTTAATTACAGCATGGAAAAATACCCAGTAATGTTTAATCTGGCTGAGATAAGAAAAATAACAAGTAGTAGCCTTTAGTGGTGCCACCATCCTGTATTGATAGCAGGAAAATGTTAGAAAAAAATGAGAGAGGGAAAAATGCCTGGAGGGAAAAATCTTTCTTGAAACTCATGTTCAGACAGACAGTAGCATTTCCTCTAATGACCTCTGCATTAAGCCCAGTAGTTTTTAGTCAAACACAGGTTATTTGGTAGAAAATCGTTTAGTCCTCATCTAAGACATACAATGTTGAACTCAGCACCACTAATGGATTAGTTTCTCCTGTGATTAATCACTCCCTCTGTTAAAACGTCAGTGGATTACTCTCATTTGAAATATTTCTGATTTAATATCCAACCACTGGTTCTTGTTTGTGCTTTACCTTGCAAGCAAGCACTGCATGGTATCTAGTATCCTATACTGGTGAAGAGATGATAGCCCTGAGTGTGTTATCCCATAATTGTAATCATCTGGACAAGCTAACCAGACTGGCCCTCCAAAGCTTTTCCCCTTTTTTGAGGCAGTTTTGCAGCTGTTTGCTGCACCTTCTCCAGTTTCCACCATCGTATAGATTAGGAAAGGACAGTCTTCATGCCTTCTAGTGTTTGCATGTGCCTAAACTGAGAACATCTAATACAGTCAAAGGCAGGTCGAAAAATGAATACTTATGGTTCTTCACTTCTCAGAACTCCTTTGGCTTTATTTGTGCAAAAGGTATATCCTCATGTGGCCCTTTGGAGTTTCACACTGCTGCATTTTTAAACTTATACATGTCTAACAAAGCTGTGTCTGCAGCTATGAGATCTTCAAGGGTTTTCTTCTGGTTTTGCTTAAAAGTTTTGGAGATCGGCTAACGGTAATTGTAGTGCAGCACAGAGAATCTTGCCAGATGTAAATGTTTGTCAGGAAGGATATTTTTCATCACATGGTACATATTTTTCTAGAGAAAGTTTTGGGAATTTTAAGGCCTTTTTCACAAAGCAAATGAAAGTGCTAAATTGGCACAAAATCAACACATTGTGAATTTAAACACGAATTTGGGACCTGCTAATAATAAACGCCATTAATAGCCTCATCTTCTCCATATGGCACTTGGTGGGTACTGATGTAAAAAGTTTGCTGAGCAATAACCAAGGATACTTTATACATGTGTTTGGCATAACGTTCCTTTGAGAAATTATATTCCCTGTTGTCTTGCTTTATGCTCCTATGATTAAATGTGCTGGATTGTTCTGCTGGTAATGGCACAGTTGATTGTTTCATGTTGTGTATCTCCAGTATAGGCATTCAGTATACTAAATGGCAGACTGGGATCTTCAAGTAGGTACCACCAGTAAGGTTGGGTAGCTCAAGAGACTGTCTTACTCTTCATGCCCTTATCTTGAAATTATGCCCTGCAGGACACAATTCTGTTTGGTTTTTTTTTTTCTTACCATGGCTATGCAGAGCTAAGACTAGATTTTAGTGGCAATTCCATTGACAGTTGAAAGAAGATATACAGAATCCAGGTCTTCCTCCTTTAGTCATTCTGATTCTGCAGCAAGATCAGTGAAAATGAATTTTCCTTGCCAAACATTTATTCAGATATGGGATATTTATGCAGTGTTCATAGTGCCACATAATAGACATCTCAAATCAGTGTGCCTTGTGTACCTAGAGCATGGGAAGAGCCTATTTGACACCTAACTACATATTTTAGCAGCAATACTAATTTAAGCAACCTCTATGCCCTCCGAGTTGTTCCTATCTCTCAGCTATACTGGAACAACTATGTGTGAAGCCATTCAGTGCATGGGATCAGGAAACTGAGCTGGGATCAAAATAGCCATCCAGAAGAGACAGTCTTTAATGCAGATCAGTTCCTTCATTTACATCTTTCTGTGTCCACAGACAGTTGTACTGAGACAGCACCAGGAGCCTGGGAATGAATAGCATCTGCCTGCCTGCCTTCCTTCCTTCCTGTCCTTCTGTCTTTCTTGCTGTCTTTCTGTCTTTCTAATAAGAGGACTTGATTTGCAATATTTACCGTGAGTTTTCAATTGCTGTTTCTTATTTGTTTGTGTTTTTTTTTCCAGATAGTGAACTCATCCTTATAATAGTGGGTACAGTGTCTGGAGCAATTATCCTGAGTTTAGTGACAGCAGTCTCTATTGTTTCAGTAAGGTAAGATTATTTCTGACAATTGAATAGAAGCTGCATTGCTGCATGTTCATAGAGAACTAAGCAGTAATTCAGAGAGGGGCAGGGCTGTGAATGTGGTTGCATGCCTAGTTGGGCAGACAAGTTCATTTAAGTCATGTAGCCATTAGAATTTGGTTTTGCCTGTTTGCTCTACCCAGAAGTATTTATTCTCTTGCTATGAATCTGACCATGAAAGCTTCAGCCAAGTCTTTCAAAATACACACCTGACCCATTAATCCTAATCCTGCCCTAGCCAGTACTGATAGAGCATCTGGATGAGACTGGAGAAGAATGCTGATATCAGAAGACTGTGTGGCCCAAATTCAGACCCTATGCAGCTTTCCTTTCTAGCACTTCAGCTCAAGGCCTGGCATGCTCCTTTCAGCTCAATACAAGTGGCATTTCCAGCCAAGCATCTCTTTAAAGCTTGCTATTCCTCATGTAAATTGGCAAATTCCCAATTGCACATACTCACTTCTCTCCACACAATAAATATAGAAACACTCAAGCAGCTTCTCTGCCTCTGCTCTCAGCGCTGCCCAGGTAAAGATGCCTACAAGACCACCCATAGCAGGCATAGCTTGCCAGCAGGTGCACAAGCTGGTGCCGAGTATGTGTGCGATGTATGGACTTGTGATCACAGGCAATTCAAATGCATCGTTTGAGTGTCCAGCTTTGGCTGCAGGCACGAGGGCAACTTTTCTTAACTGGGCCTAATGAATGCCTCATTTTTTCCTCTGAATAGTCAGTTAGAGCTAGTGGTGGTCAAGGAAACTCCTTCACTCTAGGAACTAGTTGAAAGAGGCCAAAGTCCATCTCTGTCTCTCCTAGCAGCTTAGCCCCGTCTATGATAAGAGATGCCAAACTTTGCACTCTGTCATTGATAACAAGGGTTTTGCAATAGGTATGCTGGAAAAATCTGTTTCAGAACAGGACTGAGCATTCAAAATAAGGTGTGAGTCGACAACTCAGCAAGTTGGAATTACTCGATAAATAAGGCACACTAAAAGGTCTTTTAAAACCTCTTTTGTTCTTTCATTTCCTCTGAAGAGCCAAACACAAACAACATCCAGAGAAGAAGAGCCTGATAAAGCCAAGATATGACAACTCAGGTATCTCTGATGATAGACAGACCACGATGTTCCCCAGAGTCCAGACCACTTCTGGCCATGCGAACCCAGGATATCAGCCAAACAACCCATATGAGATGCATTCCTCAAATAGAGGTCGTTTTCTGCAGAGGGATTATGATGATTTGGTAAGTGTTTCACACAGGCCTACAGGAATTGCGTTCCTGAACTGTAGTGTTGTGGGCTACAGACATTGTTGGAACCTAACTCCACTCTGTCCATCCTCCCTTGATCTAGAAGGCCAAAGTGGTATAAAGGCAACCAAACAACTGTAGTGGCAGCTGAAAAAAATTTCCTAATACAGAGATCAGCACTCATGAGGACCTTACTAAAGCCCCAGTAGTCATCCTTGAGTCACCGGAGGGATATGTGAAAAGTAAGGGTCAAAGCAACAGTTTGGCTGCCCAGTGGTCTGCTGTGTCGTAGGACATTTGTCTGTGTTGACCAAACACATCCTTCAGCACAGGCACACATGCATGACCAAACACATCCTTCAGCACAGGCACACATGCAAGCATCACAGGCTGTTACAGCCTGTGCTTCTTTTAAGCCAGCTGTAGTGTCAATAGGTGCCGCGGTGGCACTTCCCAGTTGCAACCTCATGCAAGATTCACAGTCAGCTTAAGCTGGCTCAGCTGCCCAGAGGGCCGGTGTCCTCCCACCCACTCTGCCACTGCCTAGTTGACAGCAAGAGCCTCTGCAGTTGCTGCAGCATTGCAAAGAGGTAATGTGTAAAGTGCCATGAAAAAGCTAGCACAGCTTTTGCATTGATATAGCCCAGAGGAGCCTGTTCAGCAGAAGTGCGTCATTAGCTGGAAGTCTGTTCTGAAAAAATTGCCTGTTTTATCCTTGAACTATGCAAGGGAGCTGCGGAGGGAGCAGGGGCTTAATAAGGGCTACGCTGTGATATGATTGATTTGCTGGGTTCTGCATGCATCCAGTAAATGGGAAGCACATTGTCTATTCAAAACTCATTTAAATGATATTTTAGCTCCACCTCTGCGGTGCAAGAAACTACTCCTGTTTAGTGAAGAAAATCTGTTTAATTGTTATACACTTACGTGTTTTGCAGAATTGAGGCCTAAACTGTGATAGAAGCAACACAGAAACCTGATGTTTAAAAAACAAAAAAACCTGCTTTTAAAAAGCTGCCACTTAAGAGAAGAAAAACATCTATTCAGTTAGTTGACTGATCAGATTCACATGGATTTTGGCATTTCTCACTTTCCAAAGATGTCAACTTTCACTGATTAAAATCTGCCTGTAAAATACATTTGTTTTTCCTTGAGGGCTAGTGTGTCACTTAGAGGGCTACCATGTGCTGATCTATTCCGAGAAAGGAGCTTTCTCACCCAGAGCTACTCTTTATTTCTTTTCTTGTCCAAATTCTCTGTAGTACGAAATATCACGGGAGCCTGAGAACTTTAGGATGCAGAGCAGATACTAAGCAACCAGAGCGGTAGAAGGATGGATGACCACTGCAACAATGGGTCAGACCAAATTGTTTCACAGCCTCTCACCAATGCAGTTACTTCAGCAGAAGAGACAACAAAGACCATAACCTCTGATTCTCTGAAGATTTTCTAAAGGAATACCCCTGCTTGAAAGAGATGATGGACAACTCTCTGAAATAAGGGAAAAATGAAGCAGAGGGTAGGGAGAAGAAGAGGACTTTTAAAAGGACTAACAGGCTCCAGTAGACATTAGACTTCTTTCGGGAGGCCAGTACATTGGCAAGAGAGTGAGTGTAGACAAGATACCAGGATTTTAACCCTGCTGTTTTTCAGTTCTTCTGGAAGATGGTCCAGGCAATATATGTGATGCTGAAAAATGTCAGCACCCAGAGCTTTGCCTGTATTTGTGCTCACTCCATTTCAGCTACAGGCAGCCTGCATGGCTTTGGGCAGATCAAAGTGAGATCAAAACTGTTCTTCATGAGAACCTAACCTGTTTCTCTTTACTGTATCAGATACAGTCTTTTTCCCATTCTTAACCCCCCAACATTTCCTATCTGAAAGCATTCAGTTCAGATCTCTGCTGACATGCATTGTGTGAGACAATGGTACTTGTCTGACCTTTTATGCAGCCTTCCTTCCCGATACAATGGCAAGAAACAATATCTTCAAGCAAACACTATTGTTCTCCATCTTGCACAACTACGTTGATTTTATATTCTCAGCTCCTGTGGAAAGTGTTAGCATTTTTTTTTCTCTTGCGCTCTTTACATTTTGATTGAATCATCTTAAGTCCTTTTATTTTTCATTTCTTACATGCACTCAACAAATGCGTCTGTAAAAGAATCCATGTTTTACCGTATTTTATGAATTATCTATTGACTAGCATTAACATTTCCTTATACATATAAAATATATATATGCACAAATATGTACATATATTTATAGATTATGTTAATTTAAAGCATCGTTTAATTCCATGTTATATTTTGTGTTTTGGTTTTTATATATGCAGATTAACTTTTCCTATTAAACATTATTTTTTCTCAGTACCAAGGCTTTTTTATATTGCTGCCCAGTGGTGTAAATGTTTTTTTTTTTACAACTCCAGAGACTATTTTATGTTAAAACTTGTGCAGAGTTTAGATGCAAGTGTGCACAGATTGGTTGCATCAGCACCCAGCTCTCACTCAGTGGTTCCGATCAGAATATTATTAAATCTTAATGAAGCTAAATGTTTACTGTTGTAGGGCTGGCACCAATTTTCTGTGTTCGCTTTCGATGGGAATTGTGTAGTTAGTGCAGCTGGGTCTCCTTTGAAAATGTCGGACAAGCTTCTCTCTGTGATGGCAGCTTTGTGTGTATCAGTCTGTTAACATCACACAGCTAAAAAAAGAGGTGTCTTCCAACATAAATGACAAGTTTAGGGGCCAGTGGTAGAGAACACTGTATGTGTCTGTAGAGGTTACCAGGATGTGCATGCAGACGGGTTGTTGTAGTGCTCGCGGTGATCAAAACCAGCTCCCACTCACCAGTTATGCAGTTGAAAACTGGGAACTGAACAGTCCTGATCTTTCTCATGTGGCTTCTCTAGCAAAAGCAGATAGACCCTGCTTTCTCTGAACTGCCTGCAATGAGCAGTTCAGAGAAGTAGCCTGGTGAGAAAAGGTGCAAGTTTCTCTCTGTTGTTTTCCTGGGTTTTCACTGCTAACTGGCAGTTGACTCCTGTCCCCTTTGCTGCTGTCACCTGGCTGCACAGTGCCTGCCGTTGGCAGGTGTCCGTAGGAGACCAGGTTCTGGTAGCCTTAGCCACCCTCCACTGGCTGTGTGCGTCTCAACATGCACAAGGTGACCTTTACTCCATGCGAGCAGGGGTGGCTGGATTTAGCTATTCATGATACCTTATTCAACGGATAGTAGAGATTTGGTCTTACTTACTTGACTTTTCCTCTGAGAGTTCTCACCCGTGAGGAGTGAAGCAAGGCATGGTGGCTACCCTTAGCACAAGAGGCAGAGACGCCCCGTCCTTCCTCCAGCTCGGAAAGCCCTACAAGGGGGACCAGCTCCCTTCCCCAACAGTCTCATTAATGTATGGCACCCCATGCCCGCTGCCCTCTTCTTTTTCTCTGAGCCCTGTGTGTCCCCACCATTCCCCGGGTGAAGGAGGTACTCCCTGCTTTTAATCCCTCTGCTAAGCCCTTTCCTTTTCCCCTTTTTCCTGATTTTTCAGCAGCAGGAAAAGGTTCTGCTGCCAGCAGAACACTCCGGGGAGTTTGCACAGGGTGAGGCACTGAAAAACAGGTGGGATGCAGGCAGAACAAATGTCAAAAAGCCATGATGCTCAGCGTAGACTTCTACTTCGTTCTGCTGGCTGCTTTTGCTTGGACACCCCCTCCTCCCTTCTTTGTATGGCACACTGAAACCTGGGGTTACGTGGAGTCTAATAAAAAGATTTCTCTATATCAAGAGTAACAGCCCACGCATCGTGGTCTTTCATTGAGGTAAATTGCCTGGTTCCATCAGCTTACTGCAGAGGATCCTTAAAATACATGTAACAGGAGCCTGCCATGGAGGCATGTGAAAAGGCTTTTAAGTGTTACCTCTCATTCTTTCTCAAAGCCATAGGGGTTGGAAATACAGCTGAAAGTTCAATGATAAACGAAACTTTAATGCAGTAAAACTTTATTGAGGGTGTGATATCTAGACTTTTGCTGTCACTGATAATAAAAGCAGCAAAAATAGTCAGGTGATTGCATCATTTAACTGCAGAGGAATTTTCATTGCTCTAGTTCAAAGCTAATTTCTGCAACTGCAACCAGTTCTCATTTAGTCTGTGCTAGGGAGGGGCTATCAGATACTACTGTAAGCCTACTACTCTTTAGCATTTCAAAGGCTGCTACAGCTATTTTATCTGGACTGGAATTCTGTACCGAAAGGGCAAAGTCTCAGATATTTCACTTCTGTTTGGCTATTAGCAACGTGTAATTCTACTGGGAAACGTGATCATGGAAAATAGCTCTTTGTGGTGTTTTATGACTGCCACTGCTTGGCTCATGCTTTGTTTCAGCTGCCCATCCTTCAAAATCCAGCTGGGCATGGGAAACAGAGCTGAGTGCGACCCTCACCCATCAGAGTGAGAGAGGAGGTGCCTGCAGGCAGGGTGAGAGGCTTCAGAGAACAGCCACAGCTCATTTCGCATCCTGGGATCTCCCGTTCATCCAATCCCCCGAGATACAGGGCGTCCTGCTGGCACGTGACCCGCAGAGGAGGTGGGAAGATGGTGCCACTCAAGTCTGCCACCTACTTTTGTCCTGACCAAAAATTACACTAGAGAGATTGCTTGGCACATCTGCACAGGGGGTACTAAAAAACGCTAAATGAGCCAGGGACAGAGGTTTGCCTGCTTATAACACACACTGGTATGGGGTATCAGGATCGCTTAAGTCACATGGCATTCTGCATTTATCTGGATACACCTGAGCGCATCAAGCGGTGCGGGGTGGTAGGGGAGGGGTATGGTGCCGTGGATGGCTGTGGGGTAAGAGCCTGGGTCTGGGCAGCTGCCTTAGAGGAGCTGTCACACAGTAACCTGACGGGACAGTGCGGTAAGGATGGGCTTCGTCAGACCTGACGGATCTTGTGCTGTTCACACTGCTTATGCCTGAAACCAGCCTCGAAAACGAGACATAAAACCCTGCATCCAAACGCTCCCCAGCAAAGCCCAGCATCCAAACTTGCATGTGAAAGGCAGCACCTTTCTGGCCTGAAAGCAGGAAGCATTTTGCATTTTTCTGGTTACCTGCTGGTGAAAACCACTCCTTGTTTCCTTTAGGAGGCTGTTTTTACACAGATCCTGCATGTGATGTGCCAGGCTGGAGGCATAAACAAGTAAGAGCGAGCAATGAAGGTAAGACATCATTGCAGACCCAAGGGCTTGACTTTTCACTTCTTGTGTCCTTCCTTTGACTTTGGCTTGTTGTTTTCAAGGTGAACGATAGCACTCCTTCCAACAGGAGGAACAAGGCTAAGGGAAAAGGAGCCTCTCCTCTAGCAAGAAGTGCTCCCCTCCTCGCTAGGAACAGCTTCCCCCCCAGAGGCCGCCGGTACGGAGAGCTTTTAGGGAAACTCAGGTGAGGGCTGAAGGGATTCAGGCAGATGCTCCAGTGAACATCACTGTCCCTAGCTGGTTTTGGGGAGACCACCTCGGCTTCATCCCAGGCTCAGGAGGGTGACTGGACCCTGGCACAACCCCGGGACAGAGGACCCCACTTGAAATTTGGGGTTCATTAGCCCAGGGCCACAAACCACAGAAAGCAAGCGAGGCAAGCCTAACACTGCCTCATTCAGCTGCCACTCCTTGAGAGGACTGTCTTTTGTCAAATTTGGCAACTGCAAAGTCATCAGTTGCTATTTTTTCCCAGTTTCCCGCTCTTCACCCTTTTATTTTTAGCCCAGTAATGCTCCCTGTTTCAAAGCCTTGTGTCTGGTGTTTGTGAATGGGGCAGCTTTGCTTATTAATCCAGGAGGATTAAATTGACTTCTCCCAGATTTTGAGGTGTGAGCTGAAGATACTGATTTTTGCAGCCACTAGTCAAAAAAATCCCCCACCCAACCCTAAAAGCCCAAAGTGGTCTAAGAACAGGGAAACCCATAAAACATGTCAGGTCACAATTAAACGGGAAATAAACAGGGCTAAAAATAGGAATCTGTAAATTGCCTTGCAAAGGATGCTCTAACTGCTGATAAAAGGGTCTTTAAATATATCAAAGCCGCAAAGGCAGCTAGGAAATCAGTGGGTATGCTGATGACAGGGGTATAAAAAGGGCAGGTGGGGATGATGAAGATTTAGCAGAGAAGCTCAGTGATTTCTTTGTGGCTATTTTTCCAGCTGAAGCTGTTGGGGAGCTTCCCACATCTGTCACACTCTGCAGCGGATCAGCCGGAGGAGCCAGAGCAATTGGAAGTAAAAAGGTAACATGGAGTAAAGGAAAGT